AAATAAACTGTAAAATAGTAAATTTTCTCAGTAGTCAATTTTTCGACGTGGTTTTATTGTGTTAAATTGCTAAATATATGACTTATAAAAAGAATTAATAGCGAAAATGTTAAAAACGGCGATTTTTGTGAAATTATCAGGCGGTTTACCTTAACTTGAAATTTTTCAAAATCGGCAAATCTTAACTAGCTGTTTCTGGAACGTGCCACATTTGTTCGCTACTTCGTAATGTGATAAAAAGAAAAGCTGGCAGCACTTCACAAGGTTGAAGAAATCTCTTAAAACATGTTCGAAAAATATCTTGATATGGAAGGAACTGCTTTACACTGTCAAGGAAAAATCTTGCACTTTATTATACTAAAATTAAATTATTTTAGAGTCTAATTAAAAAGTTTGCAATTTAGGTGAAATCTGCAGGATTTTTTTAATTTTTTTACAAAGCTTGGTCCAAACCCAGAGATCTACCACATTTTTTTTTGAAATCTACCAGATCTTTTTACAGATTCTACCACACAAAATATATTTTTTAGTCCGATCACTGTTTGTAATGCTAAATAATATAAATTTATGCATTCGCGTAAATTGTAAATGGATAAGCCTTTCTGCAGGGAAGCAATTATCAGCCCTTCATGGTAGGCCTGTTGACAGATATTATTTCGAGAAAGTGGAGAATTTCGTTTAATTGCGAACTAGCATTAACACTGATAATAAAGTCAGTATGGAAATCCGACGTAGAATCACTCTTGCCAACAAGTGCTACTTTGGACTTAGTAGGGAATTCAGGAGTAAAGTCCTCTCTCGACGTACGAAAACCACACTCTATAAGTCACTCATCAAGCCTGGTACCTGCTGGTATATGGGGCAGAGGCATAGACAATGACAACAGCCGATGAGGCGGCTCTTGGAGTACTCAAGAGAAGGATTTTGCGGAAGAATTACGGGCATTTACGCGTTGGCGACGGCGAGTACTGCAGACGATGGAACGATGAGCTGTATGAGCTTTACAATGACATGGACATAATGCAGCGAATTAAAATACAGCGGCTCCGCTGGTTTGGCCATGTCTTTCGAATGGCCACCGACGCTCCAGCTCAGAAAGTATTCAACTCGGAACCCGCTGGTGGTAGCAGAGGAAGAGAAATGCCTCCTCTGCGATGGAAAGACCAGGTGGAGATGGACTTGGCTTCACTTGGGCATTTTCAATTGGCGTCAGTTGGAACAGAAGAGAAACGGCTGGCGTGTTTTGTTAAACTCGGCCAAAATCGCTTAGGCGGTTACAGCGCCAAATAAGAAGAAGAAGAAGATGGGTAGGCCTTATGGAATGGCTTCACTTAAAAAGGCCTACCTAAATTATCTTCTTTGGAATCATATGTTCAAAGGACAGGACTAGCTACGACGGGGGAAACTTTCGCCATTTGTTTTGAGGTTAGAAGAAAATCTTGACATGATGGAGCAAAACTGACTTCAGATTCATACTCAGCGACCCCAAAAACATATAAAACACTTGGCATGGAAAATTTTTGTCTTAATAACTAGCTCAAACTTTGTACACTTACCGATTTATGAACACATTATACAAGTAAAGAACACTCCGTTTCTAGCACCTTCCACCTATCGACAAATAAGAGTACTAGTGGAAAAATTTATTTTTTTCTTGATTTTTCTTTCAGTTGCTTTATTTCGAATACTCAGCTCTGGTGTAATTTTCAAGAATATGTTATATGGAATATATTACTTTAACTCCGTTTTCAAATATCAAATAATAAAAAAGTTACGTGAAAAACAGGAAAACTTTGTTAAATTTTAATAATCCAGAATCACTGATTTTTTAGCTAGTTTTGGGACTACATCGAGCGGGTATTGTTTCAGATCGGATAAAACACTACAGTAACTCTTAATATAATATACATATTTTCTTCTCAAAAATACCCAACAGATATAGCGATTTTGAGCATATACCTACGAAACTATGCATAATCACCAAAATCAAATGTTCCTGAGATATGCCCATATGTGTACTAAAATAAGGTCGAATTTAAAAGATGAAACTTTAAAGATTTTATCAATTAAAAATGAATACGTAGATTCTCTAAATCAACTCTTTTTTAACCAACTTCACAAAAAGGAGAAGGTTATCAATTTGTCGGAATATTTTTTTATTTTTCTATTATGTATGTTACCGCATAACTTTGGACCGATTCAATAATTATTTTCTTAAAGGAAAGGTGTTGCCTCACAGGTGGTCCCATACTAAATTTTTTTAAATCCGGTCATTGGATCATGAAGAGGTAAACGATAACACAGCCACACAAAAAAAAATTTGTGTTCTGACCCAAAGGTCTCACTATGTGTACTTTATGTTTTTGGGGTCGCTGAATCCGAATCCGAGGTCCATTTAACCCTATCAGTTCAGGGTTTTGATATAACCCCAGAAAACCAATATGGAGGACACCTTTTGGAAAAATTCATCGGATTCGCTTGAAACTCGTTACTCGGGGGTTTTCGGGGTCGCTAATTACGAATATGATATTATTTTTTCAAAATTCAAAATGGCGGATCCAATATGGTGGACACATTTTTGTAAAATTCATCAGATTCGCTTGAAAATCGTTACTCAGGGGTTTTGGGAGTCCGGAGTTTGGGAGTTTTGGGATTGGATCCGCCATTTTGAATTTTGAAAAAATAATATCATATTCGTAATTAGCGACCCCGAAAACCCCCGAGTAACGAGTTTCAAGCGAATCCGATGAGTTTTTCCAAAAGGTGTCCGCCATATTGGTTTTCTGGGGTTATATCAAAACCCTGAACTGATGGGGTTAAATGGACCTCGGAATCGGATTCAGCGACCCCAAAAACATAACGTACACATAGTGAGACCTTTGGGTCAGAACACAAATTTTTTTTTGTGTGGCTGTGTTTTCAAGCGAATCCGACGAATTTTACAAAAAGTGTCCGCCATATTGGATCCGCCATTTTGAATTTTGAAAAAATAATATCATATTCGTAATTAGCGACCCCGAAAACCCCCGAGTAACGAGTTTCAAGCGAATCCGATGAATTTTTCCAAAAGGTCTCCGCCATATTGGTTTTCTGGGGTTATATCAAAACCCTGAACTGATGGGGTTAAATGGACCTCGGATTCGGATTCAGCGACCCCAAAAACATAAAGTACACATAGTGAGACCTTTGGGTCAGAACACAAATTTTTTTTTGTGTGGCTGTGTAATCTTAAATTTTTATATGAGAATTTAAATCGGTTTTGTTTTTTGCCTAAAAATTATTTGTTTACATATCAATTTTGAATATAACAACTGTTTAGAGGAAATAATATGATTTTTTTCAGTCTTCATGACCTCGATCCCGAACGCTTGCTGGATCGCAATTTTTATGCGGGATTTGATAACCCAATTGTACGGAAAAACCTTATGATATGACGAATATTTAAAATACTGTTACGATTATCCTTGAACCCTCGTCCGGATTACCCAAATATACTCGGGCTCGTATCGCTGGATTGTTAAATAAATGCTAACGATGACCAAATTGTAGTACAATTAACTTTATTGTACAACAAACAATTTACAATATTTGCTAATACAGTAAAAACACTTTACAATACTTGTTAAAGCAATAACAACGCTTTACTACTTGTTAACACAATTAAACTTATAGCTTGCTTATTCGCAACTCAATTCTCCGCTCAGTTTACTTGTAGCTTGCTGACTTGTAACTGTCCCAACTCCGCTGTGTTGTGGCTCTTATATACCTGCGCTCACACTTATGGCAACTCTAGAACGTTCTGAAGTTTATCGCTCATTCTCTTTCTCTCGCTGTTCGCAGTGTTCATCCAACTTGACGTTTCTCTTTGTGGAACATTCTACGTCATTCCTCGAACATTCTGCCTATTTCTCGTTGTTCGCTTTGTGTTGCCGCAGTATTCGCCACAATACAAATACAAAAAACTTTTGTAAAAATATGTTTATATATACAAAATACAAATACGTATTCTCAGTTTTGCATTTGTATTTCAAATACTTCTATTTGAAATACTTAACATATCTTCACATCACACGATTAGTAATATGTAGAATTATTTCTAAATTTTACTATTGATTAGGTGAAGCTGATTACTAAGTAGTAGCGTGATACTACCTCCCACTGCGACTATGTAGAGAATTTCTCTCCACAAAATGATATATGCTTTCTCGAGAACGAGAATCAGTGTGACATAAGGGAGTGATATAAGCAGCTATGCGCTAATGCGCGTTTTCGGAATACCGAACCGCTATGCAAAGTTCGGCCCTCTGCTAGGTTAGTATAAAAATTAATGTTTTTGACAACTCATGCTTCGCAAGATTGGCCCAATAAATGGGTATCACGCAGTGGTAATGTATGTAATTTCATATCAACGTTTTGTGCTCCGAATGTTGTTTTTATTATATTTAGCAACATTCACCTAATTGCGTATAGATTTAAAATGTAGATTATTTTTGCATGCTGAATTGCATTAGGCTGACAACACATGATACCAGCCAAATTGGTGTTTGGGGAAAATTCAATTAAAATAAATTTAAAAGCATTTATGTGGCATTTAAATATAATTTCGTCACGAGTGAAATATGCGATGTGTTTGTGGTTCACTGGGCGTGCAAGTAATAAATACTTGTCAAAAGGTATATGCTAAACGGTAGAAATAATTTTAGTATATTTAAAGTGAGCAGTGGGATTTTGTTTACATCTACATTTATGTGTATGTACATATCTACATAAGTATGTGCATACAAGAGCGTTGCAGTCGTATAAAAACAAATAAAATTTTATTGTTTAATTAAATTTGTTTAGCTATTTTTAGTTATTACAATAAATGAAATTGTTTTGACGTTTTTTTAATAATTAATACATAAATTATTCCAAATAAAAATATCGATATTATGATCTGTACTAATTTATTTTATACTTGTATACTAAAGCATGTTAACTTACTCACACCTTATTTTCAGGTCTGACAATGTGTTACCAAAGGCTGTCTGTAAACAACAACAATCACAATAACTTGGATGCAAAACCAACACATATGCCACCGTTACACTATCCACATGGCCACAGACGGAATGAACCATACTTTGACATGACAATGCCGAAGAATATTACATCGCTCGTGGGCAAATCTGCATATTTGGGATGTCGTGTCAAACATTTGGGAAATAAAACGGTAAGTAAATTGTAATGTCATGTTCACTTTTACAGTAATGGTAACGACAAGGAATACACATGTACATGTATGTAAATAGGACCCACATGCTGGTGTTGCTTGATTTTTTCGATAGGGTGGGAAACATTTCCGTTATCGCTTGCTGAGTTTGGTTTGAGGCAAAACCGGATTCGGTGTTTGAATATATTTAGTGTAATTTACCATCCTTACCTAAAAATTATATTAAACTGTATCAATAAAAATTTTCTTATTGGTTTCCATCAGGATTTATACACTTTTTCGTACGCAATTGGTGGAGCATTTTTCCCGCAATAAAGTCGGTACCTCAAAAACATGGTTTTGGAATGCGTCAACAGATCCTTAAGGCGTTAAGCAAATCGCCAGCTTATCCTTGCTGTACGGGAGCAAAAAGTCATTTGTTGGAAAGAGCATTTGTCGTTGTTCGTTGTTTTTCCCCTTCACTCAATAACGGTTTACCAAGCAAATGACCAATGAAGGGCCAACTATTACCCGTTATTGTAATATTGTATGAATTTATGGTAAGAGCTTGAATGCCTGCCGCTTATAACCAGATTTTATTCGCATCTACGAAACGATATCTTAATTTTCGCTTCACTAGGCATATTATTTCATATCTCTTTGAGTAGCTTCAGTAACATCGCGCAGCTAAAATTTTGGCTTAAGAAATATTTAATGCCGTGCAATTTTATCCCATTTATCGACTATTGCCATTCTTCGAAAAATTTGAAACATTTAATATAACACCATCCGACAAAAACAAATAAATTTCAAAACACACGAAAGAATCGATATACTCACGAAACAATGAGCCAAATATAGTGAAACTGCGTTTTTAGTTTTTCACTCCGACGTAAGGATTTTTTCAATGGACTTTGAAATTTTAAAGGTACGATTAATTCAAATATCGGTGTATATTACAGTGGGTACCAAATGAGAGAAACAATTTTGTAGAATTTAAAAACAATAAAGTTTTTTTGGTTTACAAAGACGAGTAGGTATTGAAAATGTGCGTTTAATAAATTTTATCTTTTTAAGTAAATAAAGTTTGCGAGTCGTAATTCTATGAAGAGGTCGTGCGTATATTAGTCCTCAAACAATAATTTTTTCAAAAAAAATTTTGCAAACTTTCAAGAATATTTAAGGGCAAAATTTTTAAAGGATATTTCCCATACCCATACGTCCTTATGGATCAAAAATTTCTTCTGTTATAATTCTATAGAATTTTTTCATTTATATGATACCGTTTGTTGTTATTTTACATCGCACTGAATTTTTTAAATCATTTTTTTTTTCAAATAAACATATTCTTTTAATTTAAAAGTATTCTAAAAAAAATCCCTAAACCGAATAATGAATGGATTCCGAAAAAAAATTAAGAAAAAAATTCTACTCGCGCGCATATTTTCATAGACACAAATGGTGTCCTTAGAATTTGAAATCTAGCCTGGTGGCATGCGGTGAAATGTTGCTTTCGGTCGTTCAATTATTAAAAAAATTTATAAATTTTTTGATATTTAAAAAAATATTTTCACAATATCAGATATTGTCCACTTTTTTTTGTGGTAAAAAAGATATAATAAAAGCAACCAGAAAAACGATATAATATTAAAAATTCACATAAAAAAATTTTTTGTTGAGTGCTTTGGGGATATCCCTTATGTTCAAAATTTACCCTTTTCCAGAAATCTGGGATTGAATTTTGACCACCTAGCTTATTCCAAACGCCACTGTTTTAAGAAGAGTACTTACATATTCGAGGAACGGACTTTTAGGACCAAAAAAGCTATAAAAAATAAAATGGCTAATGGCTACTTTTAGAACTCTTCTTCATTGCAAATTTAACTTTGAAATACATTAGTTAGTTCTTCTAAAAGGGATATACAAGGTCAGCATAAACATCATCCATGACAGTTAAGTCTAAAGTGGATTTTTATGTAGGAATCTCACTTTTGTGGAAACCGCTGATAAGTCATATTGATCGATATATCAAATTTTTAATTTGATTGAGGCTTTAACCCTTCGTCGGGCGCTACTGATCTGTAAGGCACAGTCAGCACGTTTTTTTACATCGCCGTGACCTTTTATACCGTTAACTTTGCTGACGCTCTCTAAACAGCAAAACCACTGAGTTCCATGTTCGACTATGAAGTTTGTGATGGCTTGATGTTCTTCAGTATATTGCGTGAAGAGTTTCTTAATCTCTTTTATTGCTCCAATGAAGTTCTTTCCACAGTCCGAGAAGAGTGTATGGCAATTGGCGTGACGTGAAATAAAGCGACGATAAGCTGCTAAGAACCCGTCTGTGGCATGGTCGCTCACTAACTCGAGATGAACAGCTGATGAGACCATGCATACAAACACGCATGTCAAGGCCTTTTGAGTTTTGGCGCCTCGGCCACGCCAATTGGATACTGTAACTGGACCGGCATAGGCGACACCAGTATTGTAGGATGGCCTGGATGGAATGAATCTGGCTTGAGGTAACTGACCCATTAATTGTTGTGCTCGGATTCCTCTTTGTCGAGAACAGTCAGCACAATATAGGATGTGCGTTTTTATTGGATACCTTCCACCAATTATCCAATAGATCTGCCTAATTGTTGATAGAGTTGCACTCCACCGTGAAGTGTCTTTAGATGAGCGTGCCTTATTACCAGAGTGGTAAATGGAGAGTTTTTTGGCAAGATTTCAGGATGCTTGCTTTCAGGATCCAGCTGAGAGTTATAAAGTCGTCCTCCAACTCTTAAGATTCCTTCTTCCTCGATAAAGGCGGTTAGACGGCTTAATACATAAGTATGTGGAAGGTTTTGATTTGCTGACAGTGTCTTAAGCTCATGAGCAAAATATGCTGCTTGGGTTGACTTTACACAGAAATTTCTTGCTCTTTCTAAGTCAGTGGGAGTGACTGATGTACAGAGATCTGGCACTCTTCTGAGTCTTGACGTTGCTTTGAAGCTAATAACAGTGATTCTTAAGAGTCTAAATATGCTAGAGTACCTGGTAATGAGATCCCATTGAGGTGGTTTTGTTGAAGTCGTTGCAACGAATGATAGACCAGCCTGTGCTTCCAAGGTGCAGGCCTGATCATGGAGAGGTTGTAGCTGTGGCCAATGTTTCGTTGACTTAGAGAGCCAGGTGGGTCCCGTCCACCACAAAGTATTGTTGACTAATTGTGAAGCGTTGATGCCTCTTGATGGGCAGTCAGCTGGATTGTCCTTACTTGGAATATGATGTCATTTTGCGTCAGGCACAAGATCTTGAATTTGATGAACTCGATTCCTTACGAAGTCTTTCCATCTGGCTGCTTTAGAATTGATCCACGTGAGTGCCACTGAGGAGTCCGTCCACAAATGAATGAGTCTATGTTCACATGAAGTGTAGCTCGAACATAATGTAGAAGTTTGGCCAGAATTAGCGCAGCATTTAATTCTAGCCTCGGGATCGTGATTTTCTTGAGGGGTGCTACTTTAGTTTTTACTCAGGGTTGTGAGATTGAGGGCCCTGTGGACGGCGATTGTATTCTTATGTAGATTGCTGCAGCCTGGCTAGTTGAGATGCATCAGAGAGTCCGTGAAATTCACATAATGAGTATCGGTATGTGGATATCCATCTTGGAAGTAATACTTTGTCTAGATGTGGCAGATCTTCTCTAATGTTTAGCCATTATTTTTCAAGTGATTGTGGAACTTGCTCATCCCAACCCAGGGTGTGCAACCAGAGCTCCTGCAATAGCATTTTGGCGCGCACCGTGTGTGGAGAAACGAATCACAGTGGATCAAATATCTGAGCTACTTCAGACATAATGAGGCATTTTGTGATTTTGGTACTGAATTCCTTGATTGTGGCGTGAAGTTGAAGTTATCTGTTGAAGGATTCCAATTTAATTCGTGTATTTTAGTAGTGCAGTCGTCGAATGATATTGATGATAATGAGCTTGAAGACTAGAATATACTTTCAAGCACTGATGTATTGTTTGAGTTCTACTTTGCAAGGGCAAAACCGCCCGCCTTGCATTGATTAAAGAGTTCTTTAGCAACAATTTCTTAAGTGTCAGGATCATCAGCTCCACCAAAGATGTCGTCAACATATCTGCCCTTTGTTATTGCTTCCAAAGCTGAAGGATAATTACTTCCTTCATCTTCAATTAATTGAAGTAAAACGCGAATTGCCAGGTATTGAGCTGATATGCCATATGTTACTGTGGTCAGCTGGTATGGCGTGATGTTGTTCTGGTTATCCAACCAAAGACTTTGCTGGAGGTGCCAATCATCTTCATGTACCATAATTTGGCGGTACATTTTCGTGATATCCGTTGCGAATACATACTTGTGTTGACGTACCCACAACAGAATGTCGGTAATATCTAGCTGAATTTTTTCTTCAGTTAAATTAATGTCATGTAGTGAGTATCCGGATGTAGTGGGGCTGGATCCGTTGAAAACCACTCTAAGCTTAATGGTTGTACTACTTGTTCGCAGGACCCCATGAGGTGGCATGAAGAACCTATTGTCGAAGTGTCATGTTTGGTCTTCACCATATCACCAAGTTCTTCGTAGTCACGCATGAATTGATTGTAGAGCTGGTTATATTGTTCATCCCTTTGAAGCCTTCGTAATTGACGTTGAAGACATTTGTATGCTGTATTATATGACTCACCTAGTGACGTGTCTGGAGATTTTAATGGTATTCGGACAATATATCGACCTGATGAGTGACGCTGATGAGTTTTCTTTAAATAGTCCTCGCATTTTTGGTCTTCGGGTGAGCGCACGTTGTCTTGCGGATTAGGAACTTCTTCCTGAAGCCAGAATTCGTTAAGAACTGTTGTATTGCACTGTTGTCTTGAGACACCGTTGTATAAAAGACATTAGGTTATATGGTTGATGTGTGCTGAACTGGTCCAAGTACCAGCCAACCAAAAATGGAGGACTGGGCTATGGGAGTGTCTGGTGAGTTGTAGATGATATCTGGCTTTATTA